AGCACATGGCTGGACTCCCAAGACGAGAGAGGCTGAAGGGTGCCAGGACCTGAGTTCAAAGAATACCAGTTCACAAAGCTCCACAACGGCCCCCCAGACCCCAACCCCGATTATCTTCTCCAGGACAGATTATAATAAAACTCTAAAACCACAGGGAAGATAAGCTTTGCAAGCAGCCATGAGCCAACAACTCGTGTACCAGGGAACCCACACAGGCTCTCGGTGGAGTTCTCCGCAGAAGCGATGTGGGCCGGAGGCTAGGGGGGGATACACTCAGAGCACTGAAAGGAAAAAGCTGCCAACCGGAATGGCCAGCAGAGGTGTCCTCCAGAAACGAAGGACAGAAAGTCATTCCAGGACGAACTCAAGCGGAGGGAGGTCATTACCACAAGCCTGCCTTAGGAGAGGTGCGGAAAGGAGTTTTGCAGGCGGAGATGGGCAGATGCTAATTAGCAACATAAGACAGACAGCAATACAGGACACACCGAGGCAGGTGAGGGCACGAACTCAGAACACCCCGCCACATGTGCTGACGTGCTCATCACTGACTCTAGCACAAAAGGTAAAGGAGAGAAACATTAAAAATAACTGTCCAGGGGTGCCACCCAGCTAGCTCAGTTTGAAGAGCACAGGACTCTTGCTCTCAGGGTAGATGAGTTCAAGCCTCATGCTGGGTGTAGTTTACTTGAAAAAGAAAAACTTAAAAAAAAAAAACAACCATAATAATTCGTCAATAAATACACAATGTAAAAAGATATAAACTGTGACATCAAAAGCATAAAATGGGGCAAGGGTAAAGAGTAGTTTTTCATGTAACTGAAGTTATCAACTTTTAAAAGATGTTAAGTTAGCTTCATGGTAACAGCAAAGCAAAACCTTACAAAGGAAATGGCTTCAAAGAACATCACCTCAGACAACCATCACTGGATAGAGGGAAGAACGCAGGGACAAGAGAACTACAAAACAGGAAGGAAACAATTAAGAAAAGCATTAGTAATTCTCCTAATTACTTTAAATATAAATGGATTAAATTATCCAATCAAAAGGCACAGAGGAGTTGAATGGATCAAAACCAAGACTCAACCACAAGCTGTCTAGAAAGAGACCCCCTTTCAGCTTTAAGGACACACAGAGACTCCAAGTGAATGGGTAGAAAAGATATTCCAGGCCAATGGAAAACAAAACCCAACAGGGGCTGCTACACTTACATTAAAAAAAATAGATCTTAAGTCAGAAACTGTAATGAGACAAAGAAGGTCAATGTATAATGGTAAAGGGATTAATTCACCAATACACTGAAGGGATACGGCAACAACAAATGTATATACACAGTGAGGGGAGCTATTTTATTTTTTTTTAAAGATAAGCAAAATTGACAAATCTTTAGCCAGACTGAGGAGAGACTCAAATATAATGGGAAATGAAAGAGGAGACATTACTACTGACACCACAGAAATGCAGAAGGATCCTATGTGATTACTGTGAGCATTCATGTGCCAACCAACTAGACAACCCAGAAGGAACAAGTTCCTAGAAAACACAACCTACCCCATGAAATCACGAAGAAATAAAATGTGAACAGACCAGTTAGGACATTAAACAGTCATCAGAACCTCCAACGCAGAGAAGCCCAAGCCAGATGGCTTCACTGATGAATTCTTCCAAACACTTGAAGAAGAATTAATGCCAATCCTTCTCAAGCTCTTCCAAAAAACTTGAGAGGACACTCCCAAACTCATTTTACAAGGCCAGTATTACCCTGATATCAAAGCCAGATGAAGACACCACCAGAGAGGAAAACTGCCAGCTGATAACCCAGATGACCGTTGATGTGAAAATTCTCGGTGAAAGACCAGCAAACCATACACCATGATCAAGTGTGAGGACCCGAGGGATGTGAAGATGATTCAACACACACAGATCAATAAGCATGATCTACCATGTTAATAAAGTGTAGAATAAAAATCACAGGATCATCCCTATAGGCGCCAAAAAAGCATCTGGCAAAATACAACGTCCTCTCATGATAAAAAGTCTCAACAAAAATAGGGTACAGAAGGGACCTACTTCAGCTTAATAAAGGCTGTATGTGAGAAGCCCATAGCTAATACCACCTCAACAGTGAAAGGGTAAAAGCTTATTCTCTAAAATCAGGAACAAGACAAAGATGCCCACTCTTCTTTTTTCCAGTTTTACTAAAAAATAACCAATATACGTTACTGTATAAGGCAGAGAGCATGATGGCTTGATTTACACATATTGTGGAAGAATTACCACAGCAGGTTCAGCGAACACCCACCTTCTTATGTAAATGTAAGAAAATGAAAGGGAAGAAGGAAAAAGGGGCAGAATTTCTTCTTGGGATGAGAACTCTTAGGATTTATGCAGTTTCCTATCCTGGGTATCATACGGCAGAAATCAAATCGAAACCACAATGAAAGGCCCCTGGGGGGCTCAGCCGGTTAAGCGTCTGACTCTTGGTTTGAGGACATGGAAAAAAAGGGAGCCCTTGTGCACTGCTGGTGGGATTCCAAACTGGTGCAGCCACCAAGGAAAACAATATGGAGGATCCTCAAAAAATTAAAAATTAAATATCAAAAGACCCATGAGTCCCACTTCTGGGACTATATCTGAAGGAAACAAGTATTTTCCAAGCACAACGTCTGATGTATTCCACGAGTTTTGATATGTTGATCTGTCACATTTAACTGGTAATTAAAGCCACCTTTCCATTTTGATATTTTACTTGACCCATGGGTTATTTTAAAAGGACACTACTTAACCTGCAAACATTTGCAAACGTACTCATTTTTTCTCATTAGCTTTTAACTTCGTCCCACTTGGTCAAAGAGCACGGTCTGTAGGATCTCGGTCCTCTGATGTGTGTGGGGACCTCCTTTACGAGCAGGCATGAGGCCAACCTTGAAAATGTTCCGGAGAGCACATGGGAAGACTTTACTCCGTGGCTGCTGGACGTGGCCTTCTGCATGCCAGCGAGACCCAGCTCCTTGGTCACACGTCCACCACCTTAACCATTTCCACTTACTGCATTTCTTAAATGCTTGTCAAGGATAGTAAACCCCAGGTCTTGACATTGGACACTATCTCAATCCCTTTTCTCCAGGGCAATCAAAAGGGGCTTTGAAACAATTTAGCTCCTTCCTGCCGGTCTGAACAGACGAAGTCATTTTTTCCAGTGTCTTATTAGTGTATTATCATATTTGAAAATATTATACTTGAAAATTTCAACATGGACAGCTTTAAACCCAGCCCTTAGACATACTTATTTGTTCACCCATTCTTCTTCCTTTAAAACCTCTTCCTGGGTCCGAACTCCTGTTCTTGAAGGAAATTCCTTGCAACTTCCTTTGCAGGAGGAATCATCTGCAGATGACACCCCCGTTTTGTCTGTAAAATATTTTTGAAGTGTCATCCTTTATTTTCAGTAACGTCAAGTCACATGCTGAAAAACTCACCCTCATAAGAAGTGTCTACTTCAGCGACTTTCAGTGTGTTTACAGAGCTGGGCCAATGTCATCATTTAATTCCAGAACATTCTGGCCTCCTCACATGAAAGCCCACCCCAAGAGCTGTCGCTCCCCACTTCTCCTCGCTTCCTCTGCGGACTGGCCTGTTCCGAGCAGTTCCTAGAAACGGGACTGTAGGATATACAGCCCCTCCCGGTCGGCACGACGCCTGTGTTGGAACTTCACTCCTTTTCATGGCTGAGTAATATTCCACGTGTAGATGGCAAGATCCCATCTCGCTTACCGTTCATCTGCGGACAGACCTGGTTGTTTCCACTTCGGGGCTAATACAAATAATGCCACGGTGCCCGCCTGTGTACAAGTTTATGTGTGGACATGTGCTTTCAGTGTCCTCGCGTGTATACCTTACACACAGGATGGAAATGCTGGGTCGGACTGTAAGTGTCCCAAATATTCCCAAACAACACCCAGTTTTCCTCAGCATTCAAGCAGGAGCTGCAATGGTGCTCGTCTCGGAGCCCTGATGGCACAGGCCGGTGCTCCTGACTTCGGAGGTTGCGGAGAAATTGGCCGAGCTTCTGCCCTGGTCCCTCCCCCGCACGGGGGCTTGTCCTCTCTCTCCACCCGCTTTCAGAATTAGCCTTGTCCTGAACGCTGCGTGGGGGTTCAGGTGTGATTTTATTTTTCCTTCTGCCTAGGATCCGTTCTGTTTCTGGTGTCCCTCAAACGTGATCTTCCTTCTCTTCTCTCTTTCCGGGATTCCAGACATTTCCGTCTACGGGAGAATGGACCATACCCCTTGGCGGTAGTTGGAGGCAGGGGACACAGAGGTGCCGTCCCACTCTCAGGAGCTGCTCCCCCAGCCCGCCGTCCCCCCTCGGTGTGCCCACCCCCGTGTAAACCACCCAGCCCGCTGACCCCTATGGCACAGCCTGGGAGAGCTGCAATGATTTGGGACGGCAACTTTGAACCCTTTCCAGAAAAAGCACTGAGCGGTCACAGTCTGAGTCAGTGAATGCAGTTTTGTGGTGGGGAGGCCGCAGACCCCACAAGGTAAGTGCCAGACGGAGCGGACTGGGAGACCAGGCACCGCCGGGCGCACGTCTCGCAAACCACCTCCAGGACGTCAGTGTGGAACCACCTCTCTTTTTATAGTTTTATAGGAGACGCCGTACTTCTTTGGATGTGACTTGGCCTGGGGAACCCCCAAGCTGGGACTATAGAGCCGGGAGAGGCCCATGTGACTCAGGGTCTCCCTGCGGGGCTCCTGCAACACCGTGACAAGGCCTGAGTCCGAGGGGGCATGCCGTGGTACGGCACTTGGCGACCTGGGGAGCCATTCCCAGGGCCTGTTCCATGGGACCGGAAGAAACAGCCACAGCCTTCCTTTGGAAAGGACCCCACAACTCCTGTCTAGCTGAGAGGGCCCACGGCGTGACTCCCACGCAGCCACCAGGAAGGAGGCCGGGCTCAGGGCGAACCAGCTCTTCACGCGAAAAGACACAAAGCTGCTGTGGTCATAAATACATTTTATTTCATTAGAAATGCATAATTAACAGTGTTGAGAGCATTTCCCCCTAGAAAAGTAGGTAAGCAATATTTCCATCAAAATCGTTAGTTGTCTTTTGCAAATACCTATTTTCATTACACGGAACAGAGCACACAGCAAAAGGCTTCTGCTACTCCACTTTTTTTTTTTTCAATTTTCTCTTTTGTTATAAACACCATAGCAAATTAAAAAAAGCTGTCTGAACAGAGAAAAATATCGTAGTTCTTGATTTTCCGCACGTACTTAACGCAATCCACGCTGTGCCTCCCCACTCTCTCTCTGGACACCAAAGTGGGACTCAAAAGGAAGGGTCTTCCGGCAGGGGCGGTGGCTGTTACTGTCACCCTGTGTTGGCCGGGACACCCCCCGTCCGCGCGGGTGAGGCTTTCCGACGCACTCGAACAGAACACGAGCAGTCCCCTCCGTGCAAAGCCGTGGGGCCGGGGCGCGCAGGACAGGGCGGGAGGCTGGAGCCGGCGCAGAGCACGGCCGCAGCTGCACCTTAGGTCCTGTGGCGGGAGGCGGCCTGTCCCGCCTACTGGATCTGGATGGCTCCGTGCTCAAGCTGCATTTCGGGCTGCAGGGTCTCAGCCGTCTGCAA